TCTCACACTGCAGACACAATGACGGATTTCACAAAAAATGTATCACTGTGTCATGAAATTGCATCAGTTTACTGAATTATGAATGTGTTATTTCTTCAGTCTTAGCTTACAAACAGCTCTGTGTTTATAGCATGGGAAAGCATGTTCGAGAAATGTCTGCTGCAGCCATAATGTGGACACGTGCTGGCCCTTTAATTTGGCTCATGTGAGAGGACATGGAGGCAAGGTCTCATTATTAGACAGTCATCTCCCTGACCTCTCAAACCTTACCGCTGAGCCAGCACCATTTTATTCACACACACACTCAGACGCCACAAACATCCCAAACACATGGTCCCCTCAGCAAAACACAGCACAGAGGATAAAGCAGAGGGCAGGGGGGTGCTGTGAGAGAAACTCACAGCAGGAGACAGTGCGTCCGCTGCTGATGTACGTCCCCTCCCCCCGCCTCCTCTCCCTCCTGTGGTACGTTCCAGATAGATGTCAGAGGCATTTAAATGAGGAGGATCAGCTCCAGAGGCAGCTAGTGCAGCGACAGCTGGCCTGAACCAGAGGCAGACAGAGGGGGGTCACACACGGGGATGTGAGGGGGAGTTCATGGATCTGCGGGACCAGCTCTTTGTATGTATGACAGGGACAGATTAAGGCAATAGATGAGGATGGCTCGGACTCTGTGAGTGTGTTTATGTGAGAGCGTTTGTCTTGTCTTTGCCAGTTTTGTGTGTGTTTGTAGTGTGTCTTTCTTGTTTACGTCCATCCCTTCCTCCCATCATGTTTAACCCATCTTAGAAGGACGACAGACGCTATGGTCCATTTGTTGTTTGGCATGCTCCATGTCTCTCTCTTTCTGTCTCTATCTCTCTCTTTCTCTCTCCCTCTCTCTCTCTCTCTCTCTCTCTGTCTCTCTCTCCCTCTCTCTCTCTGTCTCTCCTCTCTGCCCTGCTGGCTGCTGGGTAATGCAGGCTCTGAGGAGGCAGGTACGCTCCACTACCCTCATCCTGAGCAAAAGCACAAATAATGTTTTCCTCTCCTCCTCTCTAACCCTCCCCCCTTTTCCCTTTCCCTCTTTCACTCTCACTGCCACGGTCCTCTGCCTGTCCCTTGACGGGATTGTGTAATAGCCCTGAGCACTGCTGTCTTTAGTGTGCTGGGGACAATGTGTGTCGATTGATTGCCCCACAAACTAGCTTTCTCTCTCTCTCTCTTTCTCTTTCTCTTGGAAAAGGAATGAAGGTGTAACTGTGCACAAAGAAGCAGAGCCGATCGATAAATCGTGCTGACTACACCTGCAACTGCTGTGGGATCTGATATAGAGGGTTGTTTTTAAGGCTAGGGGGCATCCTGCTTTTTATTCTTAGCGTTCCTTTTCTTTATGGTTCAAGCAAGAAGGCTGACGGCAGTAAAGAAAACACAGTTAAGAAGTTACTTGAATACCAACATCGGCCTGCAGACATGCAGCTTCTGCAGCTGCAGAGACTAAAGCAAAGATTTTGATTACACATCTTGAGAGTCGTCAGCTGTTTGATGCAGAGCCGTTGAGAGAAGCAAAGAGTAAACATCCTTTAGGAGCGTTGTTAGATCCTGCTGCATTCTCCCTGACAGCTGCATGCGTTTGTCTTTTGGACACAACACTCCCTCTTGTGCTGAATTGTGTGTCTGCCATCATTTATTGTGAAATACTATAGTGATACGTGAGATTGTCTTTCTGTTTATGTTGCTCTGTTAGTTGTTGGTTTGATATTCTGGCTTTAGCTTTCATCGTTAAGTGTAACAAACTAACTATTCAAAAGTTTGCTACATATGCCTTGTAACATTTGTAATCCTGTTTCTATAGTGTTTTTAAATGTAATCCAAATTTAACCAGTTTTAGACTTTTTTTAAATAAAAAGCATTATTGGTGACATGCTTGTGTTTAGGCAACGTATTATATTTGACACCTTTGCCTTATTTTGTTGCAGTAAAAAAGGGGTTTTGCAGATAATCATTTATATTCTTTGAGTAAGGTACTTAAAAAAAAGTATAATTTTGTTATATCTACTGCAATGTAGGTGATGTATCTGCACTTACATTGACACATTTCAAACAATATCCAATCTTAGTAAAACGTATCAAAAGAATCCTCCAGTGCTGCTTTGTTTACATTGGTATTGGTGAGCTGTGTGAGAAAGTATTTTTCCTCGCTGTCAGACATTTGCCACAGAGGCTGTGAGTCACTGGCACCTTTAGTGGGGGGGGGGTGGTATCTGCATAGTCAATGGAAGCAGTTGGACAGTGGTTGATGATGCATGGCAGAAAGCCTATAGAGGAGAGAAGAGGGGGTAAATAAAGGGAATCTCTTGATATTTACATCCCATAATCCAGAGCATCATGCTGAATGTTATTCCATTCAGGCAGTTGTTGGTCTCAAATGTAACAAGGTTTTCTAACAAAGACCAGTGGGGGGGAAAAGCAGTCCTGTAGATGAAGTTTCACACAAAGTCTGTTGACCCCGGACCTCTAACTCCCATCTGGCCTGTTAGCTTCGGATAACTTTCCACTTGTGATTTCATCCCCTGAGGCCCGTTACACCGCACCATCCGGTCTGAGCTGGACTGCAGTCAGGGCTGTCCACACTGTACAGCTGCTGGAATAGTTATGCAGTTGAAGACCCGCATCATGCTGATACCATTTGACCTCATTTTGATGTTGTGGAAGATGATGTGTTGAAGTTGAAGTGCGATTCAACATGTTGTCGTATTAGCTCCAATTGGTTTTTACTCTCTTTCTCTAAGCCCTTGTGTTGCTTTCCTCAAGCAGCTATTGGATCAATAAAAGCTTCAGCCAACTGGATTAAGATGTGCAGGTTCAAGAGAAACGTGACATTCATTTCTGAGTGTTTGCTCTCCAACAGTAGGGGGATGAGTTGTTATGTAACTGTAGATGCTACTGATCCAAATATAGCAGCCATTAGGGGATTAGCTCCAGGCCCGCCTTGCTTGGCTCGGCTTTGCTGTATCCCAGTATGGATGTCTTTGCCGCTGGTCGCCTGCTGTTATCACCACAAACTGATGTGCCCCAACCCGACAGCAGGGATAACATCTGAGCCAGCATGCATCTCACTGACGGCTCCCTCCTATCACTGAGGCTCGACCTTGTGACTGAGATGGGAGGACAGTCAGGCATCACAGCATGCGTTCTCATTAAATGTATTTAAGCTAGCTTTGGATAGACATAAGTTACTTAGTATTTCTTATTTCGATCAATTATTCATTATCAATCAATTATTGTTTCATCCCTACATTTTTGCAAAACGGTATTCCCTCAATGGCCTCTTTCAATATCTTGTTTTGTCTCACCTGAAGTTAGGATGTACTTTAACACAGAAACATCCACATATTGTAGTAGTTGGAACAAGGGAATGTTGTGTGTGTGTTTACTCGAAAAATTATTTGTTTACAGCAGTTATATAAGTTCATAAATAGACTACGGAATTAATATTTGCAAGTTTAAATTTCACTCATTGATTGATTTTGAGAAGGTTCTGTGACCCTTGTTTATGTGTGCATGACCATTTTTCATTTATTCAAAAATGAAAACTTGTAGTACCTCGAGAAGCACATTTATGCCCATCTTTTTAAATCCTTACTTCTTTTATATTAAAAACTCCTATTTACTATTTGCATTATGTTGTACAATGATGTGCTTTTATACAGGGAATAATTAGGTATTTTCTTGTCTTAGTCTGAGATGCTTGTGTGTGTTTTGACGTTGCTTCCTTGTAGTTCAGGCACACTTTCTCAGTGTGTTGAGTAGGATGTGTTGATTGGACAGTGTTGAGCAGAAGGTAATAAACGTGTTAAGTTGGCCAATGATTACACCATCACCTCTGTTCTCTTTCCCTCTGCCTCAAGTGTTTTTTTACACTTTAATGAGGCTTTTTGTCAAATCCTAATCGGCCCAGTTAATTGGCCACTCTGGACTCCCTACTGTCCCTGTAGAGTAGACAGACTCAGACATGCTGTGTTAAATAAATCAAGCTCTTAATTTAAACCCTGCTCAAAAGAAACAAAACAATACAGACTGCAGGTATCCCACGGTATACCCTCTTTGACCTTTGTACATGTATTAATACCGACAAACAACAGGCTCAGTGACACTCTAGCACACACAAGATAAAATATTTAAGAGCATGATGAATATTTCAGTGGCAGGTGCTTAGTGTCCAAGTAAAGATGAATATCGTTGCAGACAGACTGCTACACAGACACCCAGAGGGAAACAGAGCAGTAGAGGCATTGTATTTCCTCACTGTTTGTTTCTCACAGACTAATGTGAGGAACACTTCTGTTTCCCTCATCGTTGTTGACAGCTTTCTCTAAGCATTAATTCTTCTCTAAGTCTTTTTAAAATGACCATCCCCCCTTCACTTTCCCTTCTTCCCTTTCCATGACAACTGGGTTTGTATAAAAAGTCTTGCAATGGCAACAATGGAGGGTATTAGCCAGAGTAAGTGCTGACGGGCTCCCCACCTGAATAGTCCATTGTGTCTTGAGGCATAAACAGCGGCTGACCTCAGACCTGCGCTCTTGTGCAAAGGCCGACTGACGGAGGAACAACACGCTTCTGCTCACTGTTTGTTTACTGTTGTTCAGGAATGAAAAATCACAGAGACTCAATAAACTGATTTAGTTTCTTTAGCTGATTCATATTCATATCTAGCCCTCTTACATGATGGGTAAAATGAGGAGATCAGTTATAATATTAATATTAATAGGATTCGACTGTTGGAAGCAAAACTCATTTAAAGTTATGATTCTTAGTAGCTGTGAGCGTCTATAGAGCTACTAAAATATGGTGTTATTTGACTAATATGTCAATAAAATACTGTTTAATTGATTTCTTAAGCTCCAAAACAAGGATAGGATTATTCCTGGAGAGACATTATTGCGTATGTCACAAAGATGCACAGTTTTCTCACAATTTCTATGCTTTCTTTCCCTTTTTCTCCTCTCTATCTCCAGCTGATCTCCGCGGTGCCCGCCACCTCCTCACTTCCCAGCATTCCTTGCCTGGGATCCCTGTGGCCTTGAAACAGTCCATCGACCTGCGTACATCCATGGACGGGAAGTACAAAGAGATTGCTGAGGTTAGTACTCTGTGAATTATTGACCTAAAAAATGAAGATTTCCTTGATATGTGGACTTTCATAATGTTGTTTTCTGTTTATGTGAAGGAGCTGTTCTCCCGCACCATGGCCGAGAGTGAGATGCGCAGCGCGCCTTATGAGTTTCCAGAAGACAGCCCCATCGAGCAGCTGGAGGAGAGACGCCATCGCCTTGAGCGTCAGATCAGCCAGGATGTCAAGTAAGTGTAGAGGAAGGACGGTTAGTAAACAGTCACATGACTCCGACTCAGGATCCTAAAGTCTCTCTGTGCTCAGGTTTGAACCCGAAATCCTCCTGCGAGCCAAACAGGAGTTCATGAAGACTGACAGTGCCACAGACCTAGAGTGAGTGTTTCACCAATATTGGTCTTATTATCTTTAAAATAATGATGAAGTGTACAGAATATTAATAATTTGAGTCATTTGTGCATATATTATAAGATACATGATGGAGCAGAGCCAATTCCCTGATCTGCAGGAGAGAGATCCGGTTCCAGAGAGAGAGTACCAGCGAGTCTCTATTTCTGGAGAGGAGAAATGTGGGGTGAGTCCCAGTAATTCATGGAGAATGTATTTTAGTAGAAACACTTCACACATAAATACACATTTCAACATTTAAATAACACCTCCTCTCAGAAAAAGACTAAATGTGTTTGCCTTGCTTAGCTTTTTATTTTAATTATTTTCCTTCCATTGTTCTTCCACCCAGGTTCCCTTCACAGATCTGTTGGATGCAGCCAAATGTGTGGTGAAGGCTCTGTTCATCAGACATAAGTACATGGGTCTGTCGCTGCAGAGTTTCTGCAGGACGACTGCACGCTACCTGCAGGAGCTGAGTGAGAGACCTCTGGACTTAGACTATGAGGAGGACATCCCAGAGGCCGGAGGCTATGCAGGTATGTACAGTGTGCATGAGCGCTGATATCCTCATATACTGCACAATATATTGATGAAGTAGTGAGAAACAGTGAATAGGAGGCACTGATTTGTGCTTAAACAATAACACGAGAGACAATTTTACACTATTATTATACAATTACACACTGTACTATGACTTTTGCCAGACTATACTATTTTCTATGTTTATTTTTTTACGTACTATATTCTATATTAAATTATATATTAAACCTACTATATTAAACCTCTTTATTTTATGACATACTTTAATATGACTATGTCTTGACTAACTATTTGCGATGGTTGTTGCTATATACCGGTGTTGGCAAAAACGTAGATGTATAAAATATCTAATATCAAATCAAATCAAATCAAAGTTTATTTATAGAGCACATTTAAAAGCGATTTTTGGTCGGGCCAAAGTGCTGTACATGTAATAAATACTACAATCACATAAAAACACATTACTACAATCACAATAAAAGACAATAAATTACAACAGATATATAAAAAACACAGGGAAAAGTCAGGAGTCGTGCTCCGCTCTAACTAGAAGGCCAGAGAGAAGAAGTGTGTTTTAAGAGTAGATTTAAAAACCCCTAGGGTCTGGGCCGACCTCACATGGAGGGGCAGAGTTTTCCAGAGCCTAGGGCCAGCTGCTGAGAAGGCTCGGTGCCCTCGGGTTTTGAGCCTGGTCTTGGGCACTACCAGCAGCAGCTGGTCAGCAGACCTTAAAGCTCTGGCTGGGGTGTAGCACTGGAGGAGTTCAGCTATACAGGCCGGAGCCAGCCCATTTAGTGCTTTAAAAACAAATAAAAGGATTTTAAAATCAATTCTGAACCGAACTGGAAGCCAGTGCAGTGAGGCCAGAATTGGGGTGATGTGGTCACGCTTTTTGTGGCCAGTGAGTAGATGTGCAGCTGCGTTCTGCACTAGCTGCAGGCGTTTAATTGACGCCTAGTCCATACCCACGTACAGAGCGTTGCAGTAGTCCAACCTCGAGGTAACAAAGGCGTTAATAACCCTTTCCAGGTCTTTAAAAGATAAAAACGACTTGGTCTTGGCCAATAGTCGTATTTAAAAAAAGCAGGTTTTGACTACGGTGCTGACCTGCTTATCGAATTTAAAAGCGCTATTGATGGTCACTCCAAGGTTCGTGACAGAGGGGAGGATATTATTTTTGAGGGAGCTAATATGGGTTAGGGTTAGGGTTTTATATGTTAAAATTACACATACGATAATATTATGTCAATAATCCTAAGCTATTTATACCTTTTATTATTTTTACTCTAAAATATTTACTGATCTCGTGTTAATATGGGAATATAAGCCATGTCCAGTGCCGTACTCTCACATTAAGACATCACCGGGCACACCCACAGATTTCACAATCCATCTGTCACACACCCCATACCAGCCTGTCACAACATGCAAGCTGTTAAAATCAGACCTTAGTTGCATGTGCATTCCCACCTCGTTCAGAGCCGTGACGTTCTGTCTCCCTTCAGATGGCTCAATGCACCCAACCATTTCTAAAACGCACCCCTATGAGAACCAGGACCCTGCCAGCATGCCCCCTGATATGGGCTACGGCTGCAAGATGGTGGATGGTGTCATGCATGTGTACACGACGAAGAGCAATATGGAAAAGTGAGATATTTATGATGAATCACTCGCATGCTTTATCTTTTAGTCCTGGATGTGGTTGGATCTGTTTTTAGACTCAGTTCACACATTGTGTTGGCAGCAGAGGGTTCCTACTTCAGTTGTGATGTTTCTAACAGGAGCACAGAGCTGGACCTGCCGTACCCCGACCTGCGGGAGTACATCGGTGACATGAACGTCATGATGGCCCTCATCATCAACGGACCAGTGTACGTTGTCCTGATTTTGACTACAGAACAGAGTGTCTATCACACATTTTTAAAGTATAATGGACCATTCAAATTGTTTATCTCTGGACTTCCTAATTATTCCCTTTTTGAACCACATTTCCAGCGAGTGACTCTTTTTATTGTTTCCTTTGCCACAGAAAGTCCTTCTGCTACCGTCGTCTGCAGTATCTTAGCTCCAAGTTCCAGATGCACATCCTGCTGAATGAGATGAAAGAGCTGGCAGAACAGAAAAAAGTCCCACATCGAGACTTTTACAATATCCGTAAGGTGAACTTGAAAGCTGTTTCCTACTGAGCCCTATCAGAATATTTATTAAAAACCAGAACCGGACTTCAAGATATAATGTTCTATCTTGTTTTACAGGTAGACACACATATTCACGCTTCGTCCTGCATGAACCAGAAGCACCTTCTGCGCTTCATCAAAAGGGCGATGAAGAAGTTTCCGAAGGAGATTGTGCATGTGGAAAAAGGAAAGGGTCAGACGCTCATGGAGGTGTTTGAGAGCATGAACCTGACGGCCTTTGACCTGAGCGTGGACACTCTGGACATGCATGCCGTGAGTAACGCCCAGGGTGGATAGATAAAAGGTTCACGGGTTGCCAGGTTGGTGTTGAAATGACAAATAGTGATTTAAATGTCATTCCCTTTTGCAGGACCGTAACACTTTTCACCGCTTTGACAAGTTCAATGCCAAATACAACCCCATCGGCGAGTCCATCCTGAGAGAGATCTTCATCAAAACAGACAACCACATTGAGGGGAAATACTTTGGCCACATTATTAAGGTGCTCAACAAATACACAACCCATCACCTGTCACTGATACCTGCAGAATGAGTGCATGAGACACTGGCGCCCTCTGCTGACCGTTTTGTGTTACTGCTCTTCAGGAGGTGATGGCTGACCTGGAGGAGAGCAAGTACCAGAACACAGAGCTCCGGCTCTCCATCTACGGCCTCTCCAGAGACGAGTGGGACAAGCTGGCCCAGTGGGCTGTCAAACACCTGGTGTACTCCAGCAACGTGCGCTGGCTGGTGCAGGTGCCACGACTCTTGTGAGTAACTGCACTGGTGGGAAGTGTGATAAAGTAGAGGAACTAAGGCCCCTAAAAGTCGAGATACCCCTACCCGAGGTTGAATAAAGCACAACCATGTTTTTTCATTACTATAATACGTCTACTTTAGGAAACGGATGCTTGTATACAAATATTTTACTGCAAAATTATAATTTTTTGTTGATGTTTGGAACCTTCCCATATCTAAAGGTATAGCACACAATAGAGCTTATACAGATTATATCAATACCTTTTATAATATTAACACTTAAACACACATGAATCTAATATTACACTTGAGTATTGTACTTAAAAATAATAATTGATATTCATATATAAATGCCTCTTTCTACTATACTACGAACAATGTTGGTTACTGTACTGTAAATATGCACGTTTTGCATATAGAGCATAGGATCAATATTTAGTAAAGGATGATGTGTTAGAGATCAAACCAACAAACAGAATGGGATGAAGTTATAATTTTCTTTACCTCTTCTTGGGTAGGAATTAAAGGGTTGGCCACAATTGTAATGGCAACTGTCTGAAGGAGATTATCAACATTCTGACATTAATAGTGTTCTTTAATTAAGTAAACATTTTTTTTCAATAAGTTTTATTGAAATGTTTCTCAACTTTGACTTCATTTTGACATTTTAATGACATTTTTGACATACTATTCTATGACTTTTTAATTATATTTTAACCACATTATTTTGACCTTTTTTAAGACATTTTTACAAGATGCTTTACTGTAACATTTTTACAATGTACTATACTTTACTATACTACTACTATTTTGCGGACATAGTCTATGACTTTTTAATAATAAGTCAGTATGGTATTACTCTATGAAATGATTTTTTTACAGAATACAATACTATGCTTCTTTTCACCACTTTCCTATGACATACCATACTGACTTGTTTCTGGACACATACCCTACCTGACTTATTTATTTTGTATGTTCTCTTAAAGTGACGTCTACCACACAAAGAAACAGCTGTGCAACTTCCAAGAGATGCTGGAGAATATATTTACACCTCTGTTCGAGGTTACAGTCGACCCTGGTAGCCATCCAGAGCTGCACCTCTTCCTACAGCACGTATGAAGTCTTTGCTGTGTGATCATTAAATACATTTTATTCACATGTAGCCAGACCTCAGAGGGTTTCATGGATCTCTTGTTGGTCCCTCATACAGGTTGTTGGTTTTGACAGTGTGGACGATGAGTCAAAACCAGAGCAACATATCTTCAACCTGGACAGTCCGCTGCCAGTCAACTGGCGACAGGAGGAAAACCCACCCTACTCCTACTACCTCTACTATATGTATGCAAACATGACGGTGCTGAATCACCTGCGCAGGTATGTAGATACAGCTAAGTCCCACTGGCTGCCATAAACAGTCATAATGATATGTTTTAGGTGTAGAAACTTACAACGACTTCAACTTTGAACTAGTCAGTTTTTATGTTTTATCAATCACATTTTTGCAGCGAAGTCATAGTATAGCATTTTGAAATTTGAAAAGGTTTATAGTGTGTATAAAATGTGACAAGTGTGTATAAAATGTGACATTATAGTATGTCTAAATCTTTTTTATTTTTAAGTCATGCTATACTGTAGCATGTCACAAAATTGACATATAGTCATTGTATAGTATGTTGAAAAATATAAAATAAAGTAATAGTACATTATGTCAAAAAAGTCACAAAAGAAGGCACAATATACCCTGAAAAAAAAGGATAAAAAATCATATTATATTATGTCATTAAAATTCGTACAGTTTGTCAAAAAATGAAAACATGGTCATAGTATTATATGTCAGAAAGTCAAAAACACCAGAATATAATATGCATAAAAAGTCAAAATGTTGATAAAGAAGGCCTAGAATGGTGTGGGAAAACATCAGAAAAAACATCATGGTATAGTTTATTGGAAAAAAAAGTCATAGTATGTCTAAAAAAAAGTCAGATTATAGTTTTTTCAAAGATTGTGTACACTTCAAACTATGCTAAAATATGTTATCCCCTTTAATCTGTGGAAGTCCCGCCCCTCCTATCTGTGTCTTTTACTTTCCAGACAGCGAGGGTTTCCCACGCTTGTTCTTCGTCCTCATTGTGGGGAGGCGGGGCCGATCCATCACCTGGTGTCTGGTTTCATGCTGTCAGAGAACATCTCCCACGGGCTGCTGCTCAGGAAGGTGTGTCTATGAGTCATACCTTGTACTCTCCATAATGGATGCAGTGTTAATATATTCCTAGAACATTAGTTGATTAATAAAGCTCACAACATTGTGCTTTCTGATCATCCAGGCTCCTGTGCTGCAGTATCTGTACTACCTGGCCCAGATAGGTATTGCCATGTCCCCTCTCAGCAATAACAGCCTGTTTCTCAGCTACCATCGCAACCCTCTGCCAGAGTACCTGTCCCGAGGCCTCGTGATCTCTCTGTCCACAGACGACCCTCTGCAGTTCCACTTCACAAAGGTCGGTGTACACAACCACAAAATCCTTAATGTTAAAGTTGCACTTACACTTGTGGTGCACCTTTGTACCGAAGTGTAACAGCACATGCCATATAACACACCAAGTTTGTTTTCTGTCTTGGGACCTTTGTTGCATGCCTTACGCCTCTCCAATTATCTTGAATTGTACTTATAATGTTCAGTATTTCCATGATATCGAACCCCATTGTGACTTTTGATGGCTGGCATTTATTCTAGAGACGTTAGCTTACATTGTAACTAGCAGAGTGGTCTTCGGAAATTGTGAAACAACACAAAAGGCAAGGCAAGTTTATTTATATAGCACATTTCAACACAAGGCAAAAGTGTTTTACAAAAAAGACACAGTGCAACAGAAATACATTCTAAACTCACATATTATATTTAAAACACGTTTAAAATAAAAATTGAGGGTCCTGCTTGTTCAGAGTGGCTGTCCTTAATAACTGACCAGGTGTAGCCTACAGTTCAGATAGGGGAGGACTGGCCTGTTTAGTTATCAGGAAAATTGTTTTATTGTGTTCACCAGGGTTAACATGTGACCTTGTAACCTTGCTGATGTGTTTTGGTATTTCCTTTGTGTAGGAGCCCTTGATGGAAGAGTACAGCATTGCCGCTCAGGTGTGGAAGCTGAGCTCCTGCGACATGTGTGAGCTTGCCAGAAACAGCGTGCTGATGAGCGGATTCTCTCAAAAGGTATCACTTACTGTCATGGGCGGCGCCAGAGATTTTCTGTTGGGGGTGCTGTGGGGTAGCTTGCCGCTTCATAGAGGTTGCTCAAACATGTAGGGTTTCCAATTAAGGTAGCTATATGGGCTACAGTGAAATGTTCTACTGCAACACTCCCCACACGCACATACAGTAGGCAGCATGTTACAATGAAGGCTCGATAAATAACTCACGGCATATAGGATGGATAAAGTGCTATTTTTTACAAGTGAGGGGCGGACCAGCCTCCTAGGGCTGAAGTTAAAGTTAAATTATTGAAGTTAAAAGCATCAATCTGGTGCACTTTGAGAGCAAAATTAAGAGATCTATGGATACATCTCTCAACACCCATATGAAACAGAACTGTAAACAGATTTCTTTATGGATATTTTACTAATCACACTAATCATTTTTCAAATTATGAATTTCACATATATAAAAAAAAAAAAAACCTTTCTTGGGGTTGCTTAGCAGTTGCTAGGCCAATTGTTGGTGTTGCTGTAGCAACTGCAAGGTACCGCCTGGCGCCGCCCCTGCTTACTGTATAGCACATCTAACTATACCACTCCCTGCTCAGTCTATAGTTCTGTAGCCTGATTAATTTTCCTCTCCTGGATCAGGTGAAGAGATCCTGGCTCGGCCCACATCACCGCAAGGAGGGGCAGGAGTGTAATGACATCCGGCGCACCAACGTTCCTGACATCCGCGTGGCGTACCGCTATGAGACCATGTGTGAGGAGCTGAATTTAATCACACAGGCCATCCGCACAGACGAGCTGGAGACCATCGAGGAGGAGGGCAGTCTGTGCATGGGAGCAGTGCAGGGAAGCAAGTGAACATGCAGCACAACAGAGACACATTTCTCACTACATTCCCTGTCTTTACATCAGCACTTCAACATATCTGTGAAAAAGGAAAGCATTGTTACAAGAAGATTATGAACGTTGCTACTGTGGCAGTATGAGAGGACCTACAATCTGTGTACCCAACATGTTTACTTCCTTTAGCGTCCTGTGTCATTCTATATTTTACTTGTCACAATTATTTCACAATGTCTCTTAATGTATTTCCAATTTAATTATTATATTTTGTCAGAGTTTCTGAACTTCCTGTAGCCAGCATTGATTAATAATAATTTAATTCAAGATTTACCAGGTTTTGCAACAACATTTGTTTTGACATGTGATGCAAAACATTAGTAAAGAATATGTATGTTTAGGTCAAGTTAGATTCACAATGCATGAATTTGGCTGGTTGACATGTTGAAGTGTTACTTCTCACAGGACAATAGAAAAATCCTCCATATTCCTTCCTAATGGTAATGATTGTAAGACATATTTCCCACAGGTGTTCTGTGTCATATTGCAGTTTGGGTTTTGTTTTTACAGTCTCTACAGTTATTCAGTACAGTTGCATGATGGCAAGCCAATATGTGTTCCTGTGCAGTATTGCTACTCATTTGTAGCTTCTTATTATACTCTGATTTTGTGACATTGTTTCTGCTTTCAATATATACAGTAACTCTGATTTAATACCATTATGTCCTTTACATGTACACGGATATTCTAAAATGCATACATTTATGAGTCATAGTACAGTAATTTATGCATGATATGTTCCTTCAGTTTTCATTCATGCATGAGACCAACAGTGCAATTCATGATAAAAACATTATTTTGGGGAGAATTGAAAGTTGTCTAACTTGACAAACCCTTTTTTACCTCCTGCCTTCAGTTGTTGTCATGATGTTATTTGTAGGGGTCTCTGGTTGCTATTGTAAGCACTACAGTATGTGTCCCTCCCAGAGAAATATATGTGATGTTTGTGGAATATTATTTTAATGCATTTGTGTCTAAGAAAAATAAATGTTGTTCACACTGGAGTGACTTTTTTTTTAATGCCATTTTGAATTAACATGGAAGACCAACTTTACAATAGCAACAATTATTTTTTAAAACAACACCAATGACTTAGTTGGTAGAAAGTATAGTGACTGTGAAAAGTCATAAAAAGTAAAAGTATTGTATGCTACACCAACAAATACAAATGTTAAATAAATTAACATAAAAGAGTCATAGTATCAGGGTTCTACTTCCTACAGCATAAGATAAGTTACATTTAGGAACAGTTGGACTGCGGATATGTGAATCAGTGAGTAGAGGAGAAGTGAAACAAAGAGTGCATTGTGTGCATATTCAGCTCATTACTGTCCAATGTGGGTCAATGTGGGTCAAAGTGTGCAGGAATTTAACACCAAATTCAGACTGACAACAAACCTCTCTAAAATAAAAGTTGGTCTGGCTGCAAAGAATAAATTCCTACTTCACACACATGTATAGTAACCGCTATTATATGGCTTGTTTTCTTCGGCAGTGCTTAACCAATTAGTCTGACATTCTTTTAGTGGATCTACTGTCAAGTCAATAATTAATTGTTTGAGTCACTTGTCATGTGCAAATGTGCAAAAGTAAATGTGCATTGATTTCTGCAATTGAATCATTGTAAACAATGTCTGTGGAAGGAGTCAATGAGAAAATATTCTCACTACACAATCTGAACTTCAATCCTAAAAAAGCTTTCAACTGGTAACTCTTGGATAACTATAGTTTTAAAGATATAAATAAAAAGTGAGCATGCAAGTAGACAGACATCTGAGGAGAACTACTAAAGAAGATTGAGTTAGCTCCAGAGAAAGCTAGTATTTTGCAATTCCAAAGTCAAAATGAACTTTCGTCTTTCTTTCTTTTGTTGGGTAACATATTATTGCAAAAATCATTCTAAAGATTGTCTTGTGTGAGCAGGCCTCCTATAATCCCTGCACACACACACACACACACACTTGCCATTCAGTTGCAGGCAGCTTTCCATATGGTAATGGTAAAAAGTCTGGACTTGCATCTCAGCATGATTCAGCATAGGTTTGGGTAAAACAGGTTTACATGAACAATAAGTGGTAACAATAACCTTCATTTGCATATGTCACATTGATAGATGAAGCATATGAAGAGCGTATTCATATTCACACAGCATTGAAATGCATTTCGGCAAACAAAAGAACCGGTTGTGTGGGCTCCCGGTTCACCCCGCCCACCGGCTGTAAAAAAAAGATAAACGCTGCTCAACGAGCTGAACTCAACAACCCTCCATTCCTGCAAGCAGCAGAGTCGCCATCTGCTACGTACACTGTGGTTTCGGAAAGTGATTGAAAATGACGATGAAACTTGCTTACTGGGATATTCGCGGGGTGAGTTAGGACGTCTTCTTTGTTTCTTTATGAGCTCTGCAGTTTGCAGCGTTGTTACTCGACGCCAGACCCCGGGTTACCGAACACGTCAAACTCTTTGTATCCGTCTTAATACTGATATTAAAAGTGTGCTGCATAACGCCAGTGTGTTTTATAAGCATATAAGACATTTTATAAAATGTTAAGTAACGGAGATGTAATCAGGCGCGGCTCCGTGTGCACGTGTTCTAAACATTAGCCTTAACGTTAACAGTAATATAAATAATTAAACGTAGCCTACTGAAACGTTAACGATGGTAATCAGGTAATCATAAGGGTTAAAAATTAAGTGTTCATACATTTGGAGCTGTTTTTTTTTAGGATGAGCAATGTTACCAGTGAAACTAAATGTCTAATTGTTTATTTCTAAAATGTAATTTTTAAAATGAACACCAAATGCTAATGGTTAGCTACTTGCAGAATCTGCACAATGGCATTTGTAACAGAGAGCCGTTAGGAGCAAATGTGCACACGGAGTTGTTGTTGAACCAATGAAAGGTCAAGTCCCCTGTGGTTCAATGTTTGAACTAAACTTCAGGTGAGGCTGCAACAAACAACCTTTCTAAAAATCAATAAATAATATGATATCATATACACAAGCCTCCAGAGCCATACAGTCTATGGCCATACCCCATAATCAAGGTTCAAGGTTCTTTATTGTCAATCAGTTGTGTAAAGTAACTAAGTTGGCCTACATTTAGTGAAGTAGGCAACTGTATTTAAACTTAGTACAATGATGAGGTACAGTAGCCTACCTAAATGTATTATTTTTAATTGAATCTGACAGTTGTATTACTTACTGTACATTGAAGATTGTCATTTTAAAACCTACAAAAAAACTTTAAATACAATGCAATTGTTTTATTTTTAGTTCCTTGACAAGTTTTTTTTAAATAAGCTCTCCCTCAGTGGGCTACAGTACATACGGTATTGTATTATTGGTGTACATTTAGCAGACAATTCCTTTAACTATGGAAGTAATTAAGCAATCTGAACACTTATTCCGCCCCTGCTTATATTGCAAAAGTGCTCATTTATGTGGCCTAAACCAGACAGTCAGACGGCGCTCACACAGCCATGTTGTTTTTTGAAGATAAAAAAAATTCTAATCTTGATTAAAAAGAATCTGAGAAAACCACAATATCTCATCCAATCTCTGATTTTTGGACTCTAATCTAGCTCGCACAGCCTGCTCGTCTGCTTCTGGAGTACACCGGCACCAAGTATGAGAACAAGTTTTACGTCTGTGGTGAAGGTAAAGTACAGATTTCAACAGATGCATAGCTTTATACCCAAAGAAATGTTGCAAGTATCCAGTATACCTGCTTCATCATCTCACCTGTATTTCTCTCACACAGCTCCCGACTTTGACAAGAGCTGCTGGACTGATGAAAAACCCAAACTTGGAATGGACTTTCCCAATGTAAGTCAGTTTAACCCGTAATTATTAATGAAAGTGTACAGCTGGAAATACGAAATGTATATAATATACTTTTTAACATCTCACCATAGCTGCCCTACTTGGAGGATGGAGACAGAAAAATAGTGCAGAGCAATGCTATCATGAGATACATTGCTCGTAAGCACAATTTGTGTAAGTATTTTGTATTTGTTCCACATTTTTATATATTTGGTTAAAAGAGACAATTTTATTATTCAGAAGCAGTAAACTAAAAGTGTTTTGTTGTAACCTATTTTGAAGTCAATGTTAATTTAACAATGTAATGACCTTAGATAAATGACACCAATAGGGTAAGGATTGAATCCCTATAATCTTAAATCTTAATATGCAATTCTGTCCGTCTCAGGGTACAATCTTCTTATGGCACAAAATGAGTTTGTCATCCAATGCCTTGAACAAAGATGTATTTTGTATTCATCCTTTAACATTTCAAAATAAGATTTCTAATATTTTTAGGAAAACTCATGTTCTGCTTAGTCAAAAATAAGGAACCACACAATGATATGCATGTGTCAGTGTCTCACTTTTCTTCCTCAAGTGTCTCATTAATTCTGATCTGATTGCAGGTGGAGAGACAGAGGACGAAAAGGTCCGTGTGGACATCATGGAGAACCAGGCTATGGACTTCAGAAATGGCTTTGTGAGGCTGTGCTATGCTGACTTTGTGAGTCCTGCATTAAACGTTTAGTAACACTGAATTTGCCACTTTCCACCTTTGAGTCTTCACTAATGCCAACATCACCTCTGACACCAGGACAATATGAAGCCAGGGTTCCTTAAGATGCTGCCAGACACACTGAAGAACTTCTCAGGTTTCTTGGGAGACAGGAAGTGGTTTGCTGGTGACAAGGTATGTCAGATATGTCATTTTAAACTGTATTAATACACCACCACCCTACATACATTTGACATATAATGGCCTTAGAAAGAAAAATTAGCATTGACATCTAGAGTTGTTTTCTGATGAATAAAACTGGGTCTCTCTCGAGCTGCTATATGGTCACTAACTTTGTCTGCTGTTCGGTGCTGGTCAGGTCGCACACGGTAGATTTATTAGCTTTTCTGCTGGAAACGGTGTTGATTCAAGGTGACGCAGCACAAAGCAGTAAGTCTGTGGGTTGAACAACCAGAAAGATGAGCTTTAACATTTCATAAAGCTGATGTAGACCTACCGAGTTGGATAATGGGGACAGACAATGACTGACTGCACTGTTGATGGGTGCAGCTTCAAAGGCTGGTTGACTGTAAAATATGGACGTTATTGTCAGATGGTTGTTATTGACAAGTTGTCATGAATAGGGAAATGGAGACCAATCTTGTTTTGTGTACCAGGCGTTAAACGTACAGTATATCTGGTGAGGAGTTGGACATTTCAACATTGAGTTCTATGGAGATTGCCCCTTTCTGCAGGCGGCCTCAAGTGGCCAACTGATGAACTGCAGTTTTGTTCTACTTATGTATAGGCTTCACTGCTCTGCCTCCACATTTGCCGCTTAGTTTGAACCTGTACTTCGCTTTCAACATATTTGTTAATACAACTTTTCTTTACAACAGATCACTTTTGTGGACTTCGTCATGTACGAGCTGCTGGATCAGCACAGGATGTTTCACCCTACGTGCCTCGATGACTTCAAGAACCTCAAAGATCTTCTAGACCGTTTTGAGGTGAGAACTCTCAACTGATAAAAAACACACATCCTTCACTCACCACTGAAAGTTGCATTCAGGAAATACAAAGTCCTGCACATTTTGTTTTTCTCTGTGATGGTTTCGGTGTCATGTCTTTAGGTAAATAATATCAGGTGGAAGAAGAAAATGAAATCTAAATGCTACTGAAGTAGAAGTACACAGAATGATCAGCAAATTGTACTTATAGTATAAAAAGTAAAAGTACTCAATATGCAGAGTGGCTTTCTTCAAAGTGTATTATTATTATATAATATTATATTCTCTTTTTATCACTTAAAAATACATGTAAGAGCAATTTATTGCTGATGTTTGTCAATGTAGAAACAATTTTAGTAACTTTTTTTTAAATACTGGTTATATTACTAGTAAAGAACTGCATCAAATTATATAAAAAACATCATCTATTTTTATATGGGAAAAGTTGCTAATAACTACTATTCAAGTAGCTTAAGTATAAGGTAGGATACAATGGACATTTTAGTAAGTGTACTTTGTTACTTTCCACCACTGTAAATAAAGTATACATGTATGGGAAGTTGTGGGCTGGTTTTGCAAAGTTATTATTTGTAATGACTTCATATGAAATCTTAGGCTCTGGAGAAGATCGCTGCCTACATGAAGTCGGACAGATTCATGAAGACTCCCGTCAACAACAAGATGGCCAAGTGGGGAAACAAGAAAGAGTGAAGGACAATTCCTCCACACCGTAATAATGAAAGGAACAACGTTCACAAGTGCAACTGCCTCAATAACTTGTAAATTCAGGACAAGTGACATTGTTTGTAGTATATTTCTTTTATATGCTGTTTTCAGGTCCTTTGATCACATGTTACAGTTTCCCAAACGATTACATTCACGTTCTAAAACATTTCTAAGTTGAATCAGAGTTGTGTAAAAAGAAATACAAATTTGTATTGATATTAAGGAAAAGTTAAGTTAAAGCACTTAATTAACATTTGAAAGAGAAATGATTTTGGACCGATTAAAGTAAATCTTGCACTTTCTTTTTGTTTGTGGCTCAATTTCAACATCACTTTACATTACATTATGTTACTTGTTAGACTCAATTTCAACATTACTTTACAATATACAATACATGACATCTAACCATTACAATAAAATATAATATAAGTTAATACAGATAAGAGAAAGAAGATCTGATTTGTTTGATTGAACACATGTCTACATACAGGCTTTTGGGGTAAATAACAGTCAGAAAACCTATACAAAATGTACTTGAACTAATAGTCAAATAAATTGCAGTCAAATTTGATTTAAGTCACAATTACTGCTGTTGGTGATAAGTTATATAGAAGTTTCATTCAGTAAAGGTGCTTTTCCTTATATAACTGAATTGCAGAGGTAAATCATTTATGACATAAAGATGAATTAGACAGTTAATTCAAAAGAAATGTAGGAGAAATCAAACCCAAGTGAAGCAGGTCATTAGTAGCGGCCAATGAACGGGCTTGATGGTTCACTGGCGAGCTGTAGGGAACAGGATGAGCCATTAATGGTTTCACATTACTGCCTACTAAATGAAAGATGAAGTATGCATACTACCAGCAGACTGCACACTGAAGTATTCTCAATCCAAATGTCTACTCTGACAGTCCATGTTACCGTTTTTCTATAGTACAATATGTATGTGAGCTCCCATGATTTTCCTCTTAACCGCTCCTAACCCCATCATTCCTAATGGTTTTATCCAAATATTATTTAAAACGTCTGTCTCAGTCCTCCATTGGACAGTCTGAAAAGCTGCAATGCATTTTGGGGCAGTTGATTTTTGTACAATAACTTGGTAACATCCCATACTTATAAATGATTGCTAATCTAGAATACATCCCGGCATTACACACATACACAAACTCTACATTTTATGCAGTTCTATTTTTTATTATTAGTGAAATATTACTAGTATATAAGCAATGTGATTCTGACACAGCCTTATAGAGTCAGTGTAGCACATAACGCGTTACTTACTGCAATGGCTGACTTAACGGCCTGGAGCTGGAAGAAGACCTTCCCCCCCTCCTCTGGACACACAGTCCTGATCTCGTCCTTGCTCATCCCCAGGAACTGTTTGCCGGACAGCACCCCGAGGCTGTTCACAGTGCTGCACATGGAGACACATGAACGATTATATACGACTTTCTAGTGCATCACAACTCTTATTTACAGACATGCTATAGCTTCCTGTCCCACTGAGTTATTTCACTCACATTCTGGAGAACCCTTTGTACTCCAGCCAGGCTTTGACCTCTGCAGATGTGGAGGACATGTCCAGAGTCACCGGACCCCCGCGAGCGTCCCACTGTGAGGGAGAGCGAGGGGAATAAAATATAATGTGGAACTTATTAAGTGGTTACTTAGTAAAGCTTAGCTCACCGGTTGGTCTTGAGCATGCTCGTCGCTCTTTATTGGCTCCAGGACATTCTGAGGAACGTAGCCTTCCTCCTCCCGGGAGTTACGGACAAGCCACCACTGCTTCTCTTTCTTAACCACCTGTAAAAGCCAGAAGAACCAAACATCTCAAACACCTGGATGCTGATACTGCCAGAAAGGACTGGGAATGCACAACAGCTTGATGAAAAAGTACAGAGAAACAAGACTGAGTCCTGAGTGGTACAGAAGTACGGTGTGTGAAGTTTTGAACAGGGTATTATGCCTGGACGTTGGCTCTCATCCTGCTGTTTCAATGTCAATGTCTTTCACTGAATTTTCACTCACTCTTATCAGCTTATAGTTGCATTAAAGACAATAAATTATAGCTTTTATAGATAGCACCATTCATACATAAAAAACACCCATGGTTTAGTTTTATAATTATAATAATATGTAATATCATTCTGAAATGAATGAGTACTTTAGTTTAATGCTAATAGTTTTGTCCTTTTACTAAGTATTTATTTATTGTATTGTATTTTTTATTTAGTAAAAATGTGTGTTATTGGATTGGATTTCTACACTGGTATTACTAATTATAAATACAAATATCTAAGTACTTCACAACTGCATACAGTAATCTACTCCAAATATGCTTCATATAAAACATGTTCACTATTATTTTTATCTACAATACTTGCACAGTGCTTAAAAACACAAGCATAATACTGTATTTCTTAATTCTGAGTCAAAGTTTTTCATCTCACCTGAACATCTTCCCCCTTCATGATGCTCAGCTCTCGGTTGTTCCTGGCCATGAAATCGTAAATGACCCTCATGTACAGAGGGGGCTCACGGGGGGCGTTGGGGGGAAAGCGCTGACTGTTGGACCTGCTCATCGGAGGCAGGGGGGAGGGTCTGTGGGACAGGGGAGACGGCTGCCAGCCATCGTAGAACTCTGGGATGTAAGGTTGGACATTTTCGTTTGGAAATCTCGACCTGCGAAGGGACATCAGCCACGTTTAAAACACAAACAAAGATTTCCAATGCTTTAGTGACCTTTTAAATGAACTGTATTAATCATTGCTTCTAGTGAGTTTCATTAGACAAATCTGTGAGTGATTGACATTCAAGCATGCACAAAATAAGAAAATCACGTGTCATCACAATGTCATTTTGAATCACAAAATGTTTTCACTTTCTAATAAGGCCCAGTCCCTGAAGAGTTTATAAACTGAAGAATTAAAAAAATAATTGTGACACTTTAAGATACTACTTGTGTAGCACTGTAAATATGAAGCAAGAACCACAAGATGGTTAGCTTAGCATAAAGCCTGGGAAAAGGAGAACAGCTGGTGTGCACAAAGGTAAAAAAATAAAGAAATTAATTTGTTTATCCAATGTATAATGCACCTTCATCTGATTTCAGTGGTTAAATACTCCATTATTGGACTACTAACGACAAAGAAAGTGTACCGCCACAGGAAGCTAAACACCAGATAAAGGGATTTTTTTACAAAATGGCAACCATTTGTTCATATACACTTTAAAAAACACACCAATAAAGCATTAGCAAATGAATGCATTTAATAAATATTCCCTTCTGTCAAAAGTTAGGCCTGAAGTTGAATGTACCATCCTACAACTGAAATATGAGATAGTTTAAACACTCTCCTGTCTACCACGTTTTCTATAGGGCCTGAATGCGTCATATCAGCAAACACTACGCCCAAGGTCAGGGCGTGAGAGGGCAGGTGACACTTACAATCAGTGGGTTATATAAGAGGAGGTAACAGGCCCAATAAAAAGACTTATGAGAGTGTGTGAGGGTCATAAAGGCCGCCCCACCTGGGGAAGTTCCAGCAGTCTCCCAGAGACCTCCACAGCCGGTCCTCCTCGGGGTCCACAACCTCACTGAGGAGCCGCAGGGCCGCCTCCGTCAGCAGGGGGGAGAGCACCGTGAGAGGCAGGTCTGCAGGGTACTCAGGCAGTATCTGTGGGAAAGGAAGAAGGAAGTTAGTATGAACTGTTGAAGTGAATACAAATAAGATTGACAGCGAGAGCATCAAATGCAAATCTTCAATAGTGTCTCTGGTGCATGGCTGTGGCTAGTCTTTTTATTTATTGTGGAAAAAAAAGAACACATGGTAATGAAAATATATAAAAAAACCTTAATGCTCAAGAACAGAAATATATGACAAGAGACTGTAAATGTCAATGATATTCAGTTTAATATATAATATAAAACAGCACAAATTCTCCATATCTGAGAGGCTGAGAACAGAACATTTCCTGCCATTTTTTTTAATGAAAAATGACTTTAACGATTAATCGATTTTCAAAATACTAGGCGATTATTCTCCTGTCCCTCGCATAATCTATTACTCGACTAACAGTTGCAGCAATAAACAGTAATCTGTGTCTCTGTCATATGTTTCTGGTCTTGCCTAATTAGAGTTTTTAATCCCTGTAAATAATTGGTGGGTTGAGATTCTTCCAGTGACATTTTTTTTTAAAAGAGCTCACCGAGTTTAAACTGTTGAAGAAGATGTGGACGAAGTCAGGAGCCGTGGGGCTGCTCAGGGTCCCTTCCAGCTGGCCCTGCAACACAAACAGATTCAGTCACACTGCTTCCTGCTGAAATCACACTCTGTTTACACGTTCAAGCTTTCACCCAAAATCTTTCCCAAACAACTCTGTGGAGACATCAAGAGCTTTGACAAAGTACTAACCAGCAGATTGAATCCATATTTGACTTTCTGAAGATAGGAGACGTATTCCTCCCAGGTTGGCAGACTAGCATCGGGTGCACCTGCATAAAAAAAAACATATTTTTATTAATTTATTATCAGCATATCAGCACCTTTAGTGAGACACTTCTCCAGTAATTACTTCTGTTTTCATTATGTGCAATTGGAAATATAAACTAGGGATACAAATTACCATTCTTTTTAGATTTCTTCTTCTTAGATGAGCTTTTTTTCTTCTTGCTCTTCTCCCCTTGCGGTAAAGAAGAGGCATTTACTGCAGCAGACACTCTGCCCATGAAGATCTCCAAGTCATTTATAATGTGGTTCAAAATGTCCTGGGAAAAGGAACAGACACACACATGACACAATGTTTTCGAGATGATTAGACAACATCTATGATCATTTATTATCATGGATATAGACCAATAGTAGTGCTTGTATTTAACGTATCACTGACTGTGCTCCTCTCTGTGTCCGTCTGCTCCGCCGGCTCTGGGCTGATCTGTAGTCCATGAAGATCACGATGGTGCATCATCGGTTCCTGTGGTGTGTAGGATCTTGGAGGCTGCATACCTTCTACTAGACATCAAAATTAATAGTTAAGAAACAAATATCATCATGACACAGTATACACGTTTGCTATTATTTGTACATGTCCATTTGCAATAGGTAGATATTATATGTTGTATGTTTGAATGGTGTTTTTGTGCTGTGTATTGTGTTTACGATGGCTTAACTTGGAGAAGGAACCATTTCCACTCGGACAATAAAGTGAATCTTATTGTCTAAGTGTCCAATAAAAGTGCCGGTGAGAGTGCCTTCTGTTTTTATAACCCTGAAGTGTTAAACTCAATCCCTTTCAATGT